GAATAGCAATATTAAAATATTTCTTCTAATTAATTTCCTTTCAATGTGCACGAGTCTGTGCACTGGGCCACTAGTAATATAAATAAAACCTTCTATAGACAATGAGCATTATAGGATCTCCAGAGAACCTAGATAAATAACTCTATAATCTCAGAGAGAAAAAGTTAATCAGATACAGTTAATATCATAGAGAACTTATTGCTAACATAATAACCACCAAGATGAAATAATATAAAACAAAAAAGCATGCAGAAATCATTGTAATGCTGTCTTACCTTACAAATGTCCATAGATACTTATAATAATAATAATAATAATAATAATAATTATTCATGGTATAGTTGAAATTGTATACCACATTTCAATCTTCTTGTTAAAGAAGAGTTGTATAAAGGAGCCAAGAAGCTTATATCTGTAGTGTATGACTTGGTCATGAGGGACATCTACCTCTTCCCTCTCACCACCAAGAGTAGTTAACTTTCACAATTGTGTCGATAATTCTGGCTGGTTGAATGCACAAAGGCTTGTAGGTTTAACAAATAGTATGTGATTTGGGGGGTGGGTAGGGCCCATTATTTTTTGTAAAATAATAAAAAGGTAATGTGATCATATTGGAAATTGATGATGGCTGTTCCAGGAAGATGCTTGGAGCCTCTGACGGTTCTTGTCACTGGTGTTAAGAAAATGGACTGGAGTGGATTCATATTTTACAAGATGTTCCATTGGTAATACATCAGCAGTCGACACTGCCTTACAAGCACTTACCCAATTATAAGGTGGCCTCATGATAAACTGCCTTTGCTTTTTACATACTCTGCAGTGGAAGGATTGCTCTGGATTCTCATACTTGTGGCTTTAAAATAGTTTATATTTCTGTTAAGCCTCACAATTCTGGTTATTGCTACAATTTACGTGGGTTTTCAGTAGAAAATAATGCAGGTAAATGCAAGCTAATGCACATGCAATCAATGCCTTGCAAAGCTTTTAATCACACTTTCTTCCTGTACAGATCAATTGGTAATGAAGGCATCCAATTACTTTCCTCAGAGTGTGTTTGGGAATAGCATTAAGTGAAGAGATCCTGACATGGCCACCTGTTTATAACTGTGCATTATTCAGGAGACCTTTCCTGTGAGCATCAAACGCTGCAGCAGCAGAGGTCTCTGGCAGACCTTGGCTGGTTTTGCTTGGGTTGCACTGCGGTGGGATGTTTGTGTGCATCGGAAGGATGCATTGTTTTCTTCTGCAGACAGCAATATGAGAACAAAATATATATATTTCATTTATGGTTCAGGAGAAAAGCAGACATCTTGGAGATGATTCTAAGTCATTTCTGTGATGTAAAAGAAAATAAATCAAGACGTCTTTAATCAACCTGGAGCTGGTATTGCAGTCTTGCTTGCCCCAAATATGTCAGTGCTTTGCCTTAATGTAAAGAAGGTTCACTCAGTTGAGAGAACAAATACATTTCTTCCCCAGACTATCAAGCATGATGGATAGACAATGGAAAGGTGATATTTATTCAGCAAAGATAGCTCTTTCACACACTGAGACAACATGATGTACCCAAAGATTAAAATGTACTCCTGCTTCACATTGCACTATATTGTGGACTCATGATAGTTCCCTTCCAATTCAGTTGTTTAGGAATCTTGGAGAGATTTGTACTGAGCAAGAAGTGAGAGTCATTGTAGGATTGGAAACTACAGCCCATGGGATATATCAGACTGCTGTGTTCTCTATTGCACTATTATATAACAATTATCCTGGTTTAAACTCTAAAGAATATAATACTGCTACAATGGTGTGTATTTCTTTTTTAATTATTTGGATCTTTGCCTGGAAGTTTTAGGAAAAGGTTTATGATCACCTAAGTGTCCCTCAAAGGTTCTTATTTTTCCTGATAGCTTAAAAAAGATAAAATATGATGTGGCTATTCCCTGCTACTTTATGATTATATGAACCAAGTTGTCCTATCATATTGGTTGTCATTCATTGATTGATGGCTTTACTTGTTTCATAACAGATTGCCCACCTTAATCCATACTTCAATCAGTAGAAAGAAGTTAAAAAAGATATAACTTATTTACATGGTCAGCTTAAACTGAAAAAAGAGACTATGCAATGCACTATTTATTTCAGAAGGCCATGTGACTAGCTAAGAAACGGGAATACCATTATCATAGGAGCATGGAGACACCATAATGAAGGGCATCTTTTATCCCAACACCCACCAGCAAAAGACTACTCACCTTGGATCTAAAAGTAGAGTGCAGCCCAGGTAGGCTTATTCTTGATCTGGATCTAAAGTGAGTTAGACAAGACATAGACAAAATTTCAGAGGGAAAAAATATCACCCAGCATACCAAGAACTAAGAAAATCATACCTTGAAGGGGAAAAGACAATTTGTGGCACTACATATTAAGGTAAATCAGGTGTTGGAATTGTCTAAGAAGTATTTGAAAGCATTCATCAATTAAAATTCTTTTTAAAAAAATATATTTTATTGATTTTTTACAGAGAGGAAGGGAGAGGGATAGAGAGTTAGAAACATCGACAAGAGAGAAACATCCATCAGCTGCCTCCTGCACACCTGCTACTGGGATGTGCCCGCAACCAAGGTACATGCCTTTCAGTCCGCAGGCCGACACTCTATCCACTGAGCCAAACCGGTTAGGGCAATTAAAATTCTTTTGAAAGAAATCTAAAAAATAGAAAACTTCCAAAGCAATTGATTTTATAAGAAAGATTGGAATTATTAAACTAAAAGAATATGACAATAGAAGTAAAAATCTCAATAGAAGGGGTCAATAGTAGAGTAGAAATGACAGAGAAGAAAAATCAGTGATTTTAAGTACAGAACAATAGAATTCACACAAAATGAACAACAGAGAAAAAGCATAGGCTGGAAAAAAAATGAGACTCAGGGACCTGTGGGACAACTAAAGAATCATCATTTATGTCATTACACTCCCAGAAGGAAAGTAGAAAAGAGTGGCTAAAAAGTTGTTTGAAAAATTATTGACTAAAAAAGTCATAAATTTGGTAAAAGACACAAATCTACAATTCCAAAAATTTGAGTGAATGCTAAACAGAACACAAAGAAATCTATGTTAAAGATATCAAATTAAAAATTTTGAAAACGAAAACCAAAAAAAATCTTGAAAGCAGCTGGAGGGAGATAACATGGCACCTATCCAGAATACCAATGCAAATGATAATGGATTTCTTATTTGAAGTAATGGAAACCAGAAAGAAGTGGCACAATACTTTCCAAGTGCTAAAAGAAAAGAACTGCCAAGTGCAAATTCTAGAATCTATAAATTTTTTCTTTAGGAATGAAAGAGAAATAAAAATATTCTCAGAGGAAGAAGAGCTAAAAAATATTACTAGCAGATGTTGTTTTTAAGAATTCAGTTTAACCCAATATATAAAAAATATTATCATTTCAACATGTAATAAATATTAAAATATTCCAAAAAAAATAAATCACTTACTCAAAAGATTGGCTAAATAGATCTCTTTCCCAACAAAAAGGAATTGATAAAGGAAGGAATAATGGAGCATCAGAATGGAAGAAGGAATAAGGGGAAGAGCATAAATATGGGTGCATTAAAAAGGCTTTCTTTTCCTCATGAGTTTTAAAACTACATTTGATGATTGTAACAAAAACTATAGCACCATTTGATTCCCATGACAAAGCTGTTTTAAAACAAAGAAGAGAAAGGGATCTTACTGGGGCTTCCACACTTCATTCAAAGTGGTAAAATGTTGAAATTATTAGACTGCGTAATTCATAGGTAGATAGATTGTTAGGTCGATAGTAATACTCAGAACAATCACTACCAAAATATACAAGGAGATACACTCAACAACACCATCAATAAATCAAGATATTTACCTTCTTTTCTAATTGATAAAATCTTTGTTTTCCTTCAGAGGTGTGCTTTACTAACTTCACCTGTGTTCTACTAATTTCCACTTGGAGCTCATAATTTTTTTCTGTATACATATTATAATTTATAACAGTGGCATACAAATTACCACATATTATAATCAGCTATATAGTTATGTGTTCCCCACAGTAGTCAGTAAGTTATTTTGTCTCAGATTTGTCTTTGTATGTATGTATGTATGTACGTATGTATACCTACCCAGGTTCTGGGTTTACCTGTAGGATTGTCTCTACTTTTAAATTTCCTCCATAGAAGAGGGCATGGTGATGTACATAGCATTAGAGACTCAGACAAACATAGAGATAGAGAGATATTCCTTATCTCTATACAGCAATTTCATTAATCTTCAACTTCTCTGTCTCTACTGAGGTCATTTATTACTAGACAGTTATTGTACAGGGTGATTAAAAATTAAGGCTCTAAGACTAGACCTGGTTTAGAGTCCTGACCTGTCATTTACAAGTTCTATGTTAGATAAAAGTTCTTATAACTTCCTAATCTTAAATATTTTTCATCTATAAAATGAGAATTATCATTGCTTCATGAGTGCTGTGAATGCTAAGCTTATTCATGATAAATATTTAGCATGAGGCTGGACATAACAGTCTGCTTAACAAATGGTAGTCATTTCCAAATCGTCATAACTATTTCAGTAATTATATTTATTAGAAGACCTGAAACAATTTTTAAAGAAGCAGATACTGGGAAATAATAACATACCAATAAATTTAATTTCAACATTCTTTTCTAATTCCAACATTCAGGTTCTAATAATACTGAAATAAATATAATGAAGTTATTATGATTTCAATGAAAAGAATGTTTTTAACATTTTGTTAATATGTAGGGGTCTCTGGCGAGCTCACTAACATTAATTTTACTAAATTAAGTGAATAAAAAGAAAGCACAAATTTTCCCAGTTTTGAATTTTGAGACTGAATGAATAAACTATCATGTAAGATTAATTTATAAAGGTTTTTATTATTATTATTATTTTAGGAAGTTGCCAAACTGACTTGCCAAAGAAAAGAAACAAAACTTAGTGTGGTTAACATGTTGCATTTATTATTTTCTCTAAAGTATCTAAAAAGTAGAATATATTGTATGACTTTTTTAAAAAATAATTCTTTACACAATATTGGTAGGTTAGTGGCAAACACAGTTTACAAGTAAAACATATAATTTTCAAACTAAAATCAGTTTGTGGTCTTTATGGAATTTACAGAAGCAAGTTAAGATTCAGTTTAAATATTGGAAGCAGGACCTGATAAGCAGAAAACTGATAAGCTTAGATAAAGCACCAGGTCAACAGGTTACCAAGTTAACACTGATCTCTTATGGTTCCCATCACACACCTGATGGAGAACAGGAGGAGAAAGGGAAGGAGCACATAGAAAAAAACAGAACCCTGAAGTTGCATTTGCTTAGGGGATCGATTCCCAAAGGCATCTTGGTCAGGTTAATATATTTCAGAGGTGCAAAGATAGTTAGATTATAATAGTTAAGGCTCAAGATCATGCATTCATAATAAAATACAATTGCTGATATTTAAGTGGCACTGAATGTCATACAACATATTGAAAACTTGTCATTTAAGCTTACAGTATAGATATTTTCGTTTTGAATCCTTTAGGACTTTATAGGCACATTGATAGCAAGTTTTATACAAAATTAATAAATTTCAGGATCTCGAACTACATGGAAGTGCCTGCATTTTTATGAATATATCGAAAAACAATTTTGTGCCTATCTTTTAAAAATAATTTTAATACTTAAAATTAATGTTTAGGGTTTTAAAGTGCTTTAGACATAAAACATTTTACAGAGTAGTTATGTATGTGATGAGATAGGAACAGCAAAGAACTTGAAAAGATAAATGAGTAAGTGAAAACTAACTTGCATACATTAATGCTATAAAATCCCACCAACAACAAACTTACACTTTGATCTCCTAATTCAGAATTCTCACAGCTTCTATGATCATTTTCTTTCTCTAAAGTATAAAGAACCATAAAATATAGCAAAACATACTTTAAATTGGCCAGTTTCCCAATGGAATTGGCCAGTTTCCCAGGATCAAGACACTGTGAAAATCCCTAGACATATGGTAGCCCTTGACTCTCCTAATTCAATTATTATATGCACTTGCCAGATCTTATATACTCAATGTTACATTATGGATAAATAGTAAAATACATCAGGTCTATGATAATGTAAGACTTGAATCTATTAACATATTGCCTATTATATCATTTTAATAAATGTATACTTTAAAAAACTGTGTTGCCTTTATTTTTCTTGTTCTAAGATTCATTCTTTTGGAGAGCTGAGCTTAGGTGGAACTAGCCAGAGATTAGAAACCAGGAATCCAAGAACAATGAAAAACACGAATTCCCCTTCCTCATACCAAAAAGAAAAGAAAACAAAAACAGAGCTCCAATAAATCTTTTTCAAATGTGGTTTGATTCAGCCCAAGGTCTTTGTGATTGATCTTGAAGGCACTTTCTAAGAACTGCCCTTCCTCTTCCCCCAATTGGCATCTGTGTAGCTGAGTTCATGATTTAATGGCCTGTAGCATTGTACTGTTTTTAAACACTATCCTACGTTAAGAAAGAGGGGACTTAAATCCCATCAAATTAAAATATGCATAAAATATACAAGTAAGACCCTTTTGTTACTAATCTCTACCACCTCCATCCCATTCTCCAGAGGAAGCACACACTATGTAAATCATATATAGAACCCAAGCATTGGGTTATCAAGTGGGAAGTTTAAACCACTTTAATTCACTACAGTGATTTAAAGTGTTGTCTTGGTTACATTGAACACAGAGGGGTAAAAAAGTGAATTCAATATGGAATCTTGTGAAAACAAGCTTAACTTCCATGAGTTGTAAACGATTGCTGATTAAGTGAAATCTTTACTATCTCCAATCTTTGCTTTTATTTCTGTCTTAAACTTTTAACATTTTTGAGATATGTAAAGAAGGTGAAAAGGTGGTAAATGGAACTAGATCTGGCTTTGAATAGTTGATCTTCCTAAGCTCTCTCAAATTAGACATCTTCTTTGGTAGCTTGAACTTCCTTGTCATCATCTATCATATGGATATCTGATGTTTTTTTGTCACTTTGCCTCAAACGGTAACTTTTATAAGCACGCTGAATGATGGTTGCTGAGACTGCCTCTTGTTTTCGTTTCAGGGTAGTTGTAATTGGCTCATATGTGATCTTAAAAGGGTTAGCCAAGATAAACCCCGATTCCATCTCTGAAAGAAGTTTCTCCATCCTCACATCTTTACCCACAACTCGCTTTGTAAAAGCAAGTAAGATGTCTAGGCAATGAATTCTGTCCCCAACAGCCATGGGAAGATCCATGGCCACAAGCTGACCCTTGTTTGGTTTTGCCATGAAAAGTGGAGCATCCAGAGCAGCTGCAAAATCTGAAAGCTTGCTAGAATCTATGTACTGGGTCCCCTCAGGGTCAAACCTCTTCCAGACCTGAAAGAATTTCCTAAAGTCATCTTCACTCAAGGTCTTGGCTGTTTTTTTAGAAGCAATATTTACAAACTCCATAACAAGAACAATGTACATGTTCACAATGATCAGCCATGCTATGAGGATGTAACTGACAAAATAAATAATTCCGACAATGGGGTTCCCACAATCTCCTCTAACCTGGGTCCCAGGGTTAATTTTATCAGGATCACAGTCAGACCATTGACTGTTAAAAATAGCATTGAGCATCCCATCCCAACCAGCAAATATTGTAACCTGGAAAAGACAGAGCATACTGCTGCCAAAGGTTTCAAAGTTGGACACATCATTAATTCCAGCTTCCTTTTTCACATAGGCAAAGTTGTACATGCCAAAGATGGCGTAGATGAACATGACGAGGAAGATGAGCAGGCTGATGTTCAACAGGGCCGGGAGGAAGAGCACCAGAGGAAGCAGCAGATCACGGAACAACTTCGGTCCTTTCCCAGGTCGCAGGATGTGGATGATCCGGGAGAGAACTATCAGTTGCAGGAAGGAAGGAGGTACAAGGTAGTACTCTCCCATCAGAGGCAGAAGTAGTCCTTGATATGGGGAAAGACAAAGCAGGCAATCAAGTGATTCAAATTTCATGGTATGTAGAGGACTAGAAACTTATTTTACATTTCACCTTTTTCTATAAGTTGAGATTATTTTATTCATCCTCCCTTTCTAGCATTTAGCACACATTGAAAGTTTGGGTTAGTCCAGTAATAATTGTGGCAATGCTCAGTGTACCTAGTAAAATTTGGAAGAGAATTCTTTGCATCATCACCTTAAGAGGATTATGTATCAAATACTTCTGGAATAACAGAGAGCATGAATCTATAATATAGGACAGTAGTCATTTTTTTCTGATTGTAGTTGAATCAAGAAATTTAATTCAATGCAACCTTTATTGGATACTTAATAAAGGTGTTGTGCACATATGCAAAGATGATCAATGTGGCTCTGTCCTCAAAGACTTTGTAATCTTTAGAGGTAGACATTTAAATTAATTATAATGCAAAGCAGAAAAATCTGGTTGATAAGTATAATTACAAAAAATGTTTTTTATTGAATTTATTGGGGTGACATTGGGTAACAAAATTATACAGGTTTCAGGTGGACAATTCCACAACACATCATCTGTTCACTGTATCCAGTGACTCACAGATTATAATTTAATTTATTTATTTCATAAACAGTATGGGAGCCCTTGGGAGCTTTCAATAGGAATTGAATAGCTGAGTCTTTGCCTGGAATGATTTTCTGGCAGTAGTGGGTGAGTGAGGGAACTATGAAAGTGAAGACAGAACTATGAAACAAGGTGAAATTATAATCGCCATAAAAAAGCATAAAGATGTTCTCTGAAAGTACTGGAGGGGATGCGGTTCATTTTGAGTTGAAAAGGTGGGGGAGGGGAGAATCATATGACGCTTTTAACTGAGATGGCATGCAGCATCTGGTAGACTCAGGTCTCACATTTCTGTTGAACTTTGACACTATTAATGTTGGCATTCTCTCTGATGTTCTGTCTTATATATACCCGCATCTTCATAGTGTTTTAATGAACCTTCTACTCTGGGTCAATTTTTCATTTCTCCTCAATTGTCCAAACTCTTCCATTATGAAGAAGGTATCCCCCTTCAATATAGACATATTTTTCCACATCCTCTAAACTGCAGACAGCTTATTCTTCCCCACTCCATATTTCTCCTGGTAGAAAGATGGAAAAAGCAGGCACCTTTTTTTCTTTACAAAGTGATTTCCAGACACCTTTCTTTTCCATCATTTTTAGAAAAAATTAATTTCAACTCCTTGTGGGTCATGTTATTTAACAATACCATCTCCTACCATTCCTGACTCTGCGATCTAGTCATTCCTCCTCATTTATATTCAACTGGACTCTTTAGTTGGCTCATGTCATCCTTCCCATCTCAGCACCTACCATCAACAACCCAGTCAAAGGCAAATCTTTCAGTCTTCGGCTTTTTTAATTTTAACAATTTTACATCAATGGCCACATTCTGGACCCACGCAGGATACCTGCCTTCCGAGATCTCAACTCCAAACAGTGTTCTCTCTGACCACAGTTTCCTCTCTTTCTGATTCAGTAATTCTCACTTGAGTCTCATAGGGCTCTTTAATGCCATATTCCTGTTACCTTCCTACCCGCTTCCTCCTGCCTTTATGCACTTTCAGTCAAATTTCTTGTACTTGTCTGTCAATAGTAATTGCACTGTTTCCACTACCAGGTGAATGAGTGGATTTTCTGGAAGCACAGCTGGGCTGACAGTTCATCTACATTTTTTTTTACTGCTGACTACACACAATAGTAATTGACAATAAATTTCAAATATTGTCCCTATTTTCATGGAGCTCACATTCTGGTATGTGTCTTATAGGAGACAGACAAGAAACAAACCTTTCTCTGCTTAAAACCCTTTTCTCCTAGAATATTTCTTGGCTACCTCCTTATCCAATAGTTAACTTTTGCTTTTTCCATGAAGTTTTCTCTGACCTCTACTTACTGATTAGGTGTACTGCTGTAACATCCCTTATATAACCTTTTCTTATCCTTAATAGCACAGTAAAATGCACTAGTAATTATCTGTATCCATTAATAGATTATAATAGACTAGAGGTCTGGTGCACAAAGTTCATGCATGGGTGCGGTCCCTAGGCCTAGCCGGCATTGGAAGCACAAGCATCTAGCATGGAAGGGCAGACACCAGGTGACCTCTGGGCCCTGGGAAGCACCTGGGCTCCCAGGCCTCCACTTGTCCCCCTCCACCACAGCACCCAAGTCCCCACATGGAGATGCGGAGAGTGAGACCAAATGCCTTGGGCAGGGCACAGTGTGGGCCTCTGGGCCACCCAGCGGTGCTGCACAGAAGCTGGGCAGGCGATGTGCTCTCTCCAGGCCAGCCTCACAGACTGGCTTCTGCATGAACCCATGGCAAGCACGACCAGACCCTGAGGTCCCAGTGGCTGCAGCCTAGCTCACCCGGAAGTGGCTGCGTGGGTGCGGGGACGGTTCCTCACAGACACCCAGCACCTGAGCACCCCTTGTCAGCGCCACATCACTGATGCCCACCATGTTCTACACCGCGCCTGGGGATCAGCGTATGTCATAGCGAGCGGTCGAACTCCTGGACAAACTCCCGGTCTAATGACTGCCCGAGGGGACAATTTGCATATTAGGCTTTTATTATATAGGATTATCAACTATGGGCACACAGGAATTATGACTAACTTGTTTACTAATGAGTTCTTTGAATATAGTGCAATATCTATTCACAAAAAGGATAATCAAATATATTGGTTAAACCAAAGACTGAGATCTCTGGAGTAAAACTAGTGACCTAGAGCATTAAACTCTACTGTTGTGAAAGTTGTAAGTAGTTTTAGCGATTAGGAGAAAGGGAAAATAGTGAGCTTGAAAGTTTATATTATACTAGGATGTATAGATATTTAGTGTCATCCTAAAAAATAATGTAGTTGATATGCTGAAGGGGTAATTAAATATTTACCTGGTGGTCTGTGAAGTAAAGTCTGTGTACTAATTCAAACAGTATTTTTGAATGTTTTATATATGTCAGGTATGTGTACAGATATTTTTATATAAAATGCAAAAAATGTAAAGCATTTCTGTTGGAAATAACTATAAGAACTTGCCTGAATGAATATTACTACAAATGAAAATCTGATTACATAAAATCTTACCTGTAATAGAGAAAATGACCACTATAAAATCTAAAACGTTCCATCCACTCGTGAAATAGTTGCAACGGAAAGCGATGAGCTTCAGCACACATTCTACAGTGTATAGAAGAATGAAAATTATCTGAAGCCAGAGGACAGCGGTATCCATTTGTCTACTCTGTTCATCGCTTTGTATCATAAGGGTTATTGCTTGGAAGCAGATAAGAACCATAACGATGATGTTAAAAGCTTGACTTGTGACGAAGCCAAAGATGAATCTTCGGAGCTTGTTCTGTGGGTGAAGAGAAAGGTGTAATAATCATATCAATAGGAATCTATGCACACACAGAGGCTTCACATTCATATCTTCCCTCCCAGCATTAATAGGAGAATAAGTCCGGGCCTAAGTTTGCACCGAACTAGAATTATAGCACACAGTCAAAGCAAACAAGACCACCAAAAGCTTTGTCAAGGAACACATTTCGAAAAATGTTTCTCAAAAGCATATGTTGTTAAGAATTTTAAAAACACATTTATTTTAAAGATGAATATATCAAGGAAACTTTTTTAGAAACTTAAAAATATCTAGATGTTTTCTTACTCCTGGGCAAGGTATTGTTTTTTGAGAGTCCTCATACATCAGCTTCTTCAGTGTTAGATATTGTTTCTCCTGTTTTTCTGTTATAAAAATATTGGAGCCTCCCTGGTAAAGAAATGAAAGAAAAATATATTAAAATCATATTTAATCCAAATTTCATTTTATATTAATATGCATTTTGGAAAGCTTGGTAATGACTGATTTAAATAAAGGCCTAACTGCAGTTAAATAAACCTTGTTTAAACATGTCTCATTTTCTGCACAAAAATCCATATAAAACATATATGGATTACATATTGGTAGTGATTGATATTCAATTACCCTTTGGTGCACCTTACTGTGGGTGGTCAACCTATTTTAAATTTTCAGTTTACTGAGCTACCTCTTGTTGGACTGAGACAAAGGAGGAAGGGAATCCTAGAAAGGCTTCTTTCTAGATATTTGACCACTGACCTCTCTAATGCCATCTGATTAGTAGAGATTCAGAGTTGTTTGTTTACCAGAATCTGCACATAGCTAAACTTTGCTGACATGGCTAACTTGTACTTTTAAAATTAAATGATTCTTTTCTTCAATTTGTTAGAAGGCTTTTCTCCACCAATAAAAAGCAGGTCCCTGTGGTTAGAATAAGTAGACGTAGATGAATTCTGAAGCTCTTGCAATTTGTAGAAGCATTTACATGAAAATGGCACCAAAGAAGTGGTTCAATTCTGCCTCTGAATTCTTTCCAATTAAGCACTCCTATGTAAGCCACCCATTCAAATGTATGACTCTCTACTTCTAGCTTGAAAGCTATCCTAACTGAGAAGATGTCTATGCTGCCTATGACTCTGAAGACTTTGAAAGTTTCAGAGAGGAGGAAAGTGCAGTCTTCACATATTTGCACAAATGCACAATGTTTTTTATTTCTTAGCATGCCATCATTTATGAGTATACATACAGAAACACTTGGAATCTTTACCTTTTAAACTTGTCTGTACGTATTTGAATATAGAAAACAATGTACAGACTGAATATTTTAGCAATGTTTATCAATATGCAGGAACATCAATATTTTTTTTAGGTGAGTACCAAACAGAAATGACATTAAGTTGAATCCAAAATGAATCATTTGAAGCAGGACATTTTTATAAATGCATTTGATATTTATACTTATCTTTATTTTATGCTTGTTGAAATTAGCAAGAATAACACCGACCAGCATAGTCAGAGGAAGAAATAATCCAATGATAATAAAACCAATAAAGTAACAATACATGTAGATATTCACTTCAAAATCAGGCTGCACATCTATCTAAAAGTGAAGTAAAAAATAAACAAGGTGAGGAAGAGCATAGAGGATTTTCAGAGCAGTGAAAATACTGTAGGTGATATTGTAATACATGTCACCATACATTTGTTCAAACCCATAGAATGCACAACATTGTGTGAACCCCAGGGTAAACTGTGAACTTTGATTGATTATGACCTGCCAAGGTAGATTCACTCTTGGTAAAAAAAAAAAAAATATATATATATATATATATATACCATTCTGGAGAACTTTGTTAACAATAAGAAGGCCATGCATGTGTGGAGGAAGTGGGTATGTGGGAAATATTTGTACCTCCCTCTCAATTGTGTTGTAAACCTAAAACTGCACTAAAAAGAAATTCTTTAAAAGTAAAAATGTATAAAAATTGAAAAAATAAGGAAAATATTGATACTGACCTTTTAAAACATTAGGTTTATAAAATAATTTCTGACAAGAAAATCCAACAATGCTACTTGAGATATGTTTCCTCTTTGATCATTGGTGAAGAGATATCATTGCTTTGTTTACTGGATTTTAAAGTGTATTGTATTGGTTTAATAATTTTTATGAAGTCTGATAATCCTTCAAGTGGGCCTATTGGGCCTCAACCATTGTATATAATCCTGAAAGGATTTCATTGTCCATGAAATACTCAATCTGAACAGTATTTAACTTTTGTCTAGCATAAGTATTTGCTTTTAACTTTTAATTATTGTTCTTGCTGGTGCCCTGTTCTTAAATTAGAAAAATGACTTTGCTTGAACTATAACAATGACTTTAGGATTAAATTGTACTTACACCAGTAGAATCAACAGCTGAATTCATAATATCAATCCATCCATTAAATGTTGCCTGTAAAAACAGAATGTGTTTAATTCTTATGGAAATTTTATGCTTCATGGCAAATTAAAGTAAAACTCAATTTGTTACTAATATATTAAAACATTCGATTAGTAAGACTGACCACACTTCAATATATTGTATAACAGATTCCTACCATTTTCATTATTACATTTATGTTGTCTGTCAACAAATATTTAAAACTACTTAGTGTAACTGTAGTTGGTAACTTAAAATATTTTAAGATAGTATAAACAGAAAGGCAGAGATATAGGTAGAGATATAGGTAAATAGTAAATAAATACATGCTGCTCAGGTATCATAGTTACATGTAACTGCTATTACACGTGCTTTTCTATGGGGGAGTCAAGACAAGAATGGTTCACCTCCTCACATCTGCTAGATGTTGGGTGACTGAGCAGCCATTCTTCAAAGCACTAAGTAGAAATAAAACTGTAGTAACCTGAGTTGGACCAAAAATTGTGACCCTAGTACATGATCAGTGATGGAAACAGGTTTGGCCAGTACCTGCCATTTCCCTTGTCAGTCCTGCCTTCGTCTCCCCTGCCTTCTCCAAAAAGTACAGGAACTGTTTCACTTTTGTTTTTCCAAATGAACTTATTTGTTTACAGTGATTCTCAACCTTCCTAATGCCACGACCCTTCAATACAGTTCCTCATGTTGTGGTGACCCCGAACCATAAGATTATTTTCATTGCTACTTCATAGCTGTAATTTTGCTACTGTTATGAATCGTCATGCAAATATCTGATATGCAGGATGTATTTTCATTGTTACAAATTGAACATAATTAAAGCATAGTGATTAATCACAAAAACAATATGTAATTATATATGTGTTTTCCGATGGTCTTAGGCGACCCCTGTGAAAGGGTCATTCGACCCCCAAAGGGGTCGCAACCCACAGGTTGAGAACTGCTGGTTTATAACATGTATCTATGAACAAATAATAGCTAACATAATTTCTTACCAATTCTGTTAATCATCCACATTTTGTCCTTATGTTTACCTACAATATGGATGCACATGTAAAAAATAATAAAATCAAAAGCATACTTACTACTTGAAGCAATGAAAGGAAACCATTTCCAACATTATCAAAGTTCAGTTTTGCATTCTCCCATGGCATGGATTCATTGAATACAAGACTTTCACATTCACTCCTATTCCCGACTTCATATGTAGGAAATCTTTCTCCACTTGTTGGGTCAATGCATTCATAGAATGTGCCAGCAAATAAGTGTACTCCTATGATGCTATAAGTCAGCCAGATCATAAGGCAGACCAGAAACACATTCAAAGCCGGTAAAGTTGTTTTCATCAAAGCTCTCACAACCACCTGGCATATAAAAGCAAACATGGAAACTTCAGGTAAGAAATGTGAAACTATTTTGATTAAATTGAAAATGCTAAATAATGTAATGTCATATTGAAATAACAAAAAAGGCTATCTTTAAAGATTTAATAGGCCATAAACATGAATAACAAAAATAAAAAATTTCAATTAAAAATATACATGAAAAATCCAGATATTCTCAAAATGTTTTTAGTAAAACTAATCACTAAAAGAACAACAGAGCTAATAAATATAAATGCTAGAATAAAGAATTATTTTACTGATTTAACACACGTGTATCAACTATTGTGTGAGAAAAAGGCAAGACGAGTGAACCTGTATACATGTATAAGATTATCTAGAAAGCATATGAGGGCTGGGTAGCTCAGTTAGTTAGAGCATCATCTTTTTTTGTTGCTGTTCTTAATCCTCACCTCAGGATATTTCTCAATTGATCTTTTAGAGAGAGTGGAAGAGAGAGGGAAAGACAGAGAGAAATATCGATGTGAGAGAAATACATCGATTGGTTGCCTCCTGCATGTGCCCTGACCAGGGCCCAGTCTGGGGAGGAGACTACAACCAAAATATATGCCCCTGACCAGACTCGAACCAGGGACCTTTCGGTCCACAGGCTGAATATCTACCGAGCCAACCGTCTAGGGCTAGAGCATCATCTTGATAAGCCAAGGTTGATGCCAAGGAGGACACCAAGGCTGACACCAGGTTGTGGGTTCAATCCTCAGTCAAGGCACATATAAGAATCAATCAATGAATTCAATGAATGCATAAATAAGTGGAACAACAAATCAATGTCTCTCTCTCTCTTCTCTCTCTCTCTCTCTCTCTCTCTCTCTCTCTCTCATCTCTCTCTCTCTCATCTCTAGAAAGTATCTAAAATGAGAGTAAAATAGGACCAGACATAATTGTTGGGGATTCTAACCTTCAGGAGGAACAGCCTACTTAGGAGAAAGTAAAGAGGTGGCAGAGGACATAAAAGAAGACCAAGAGATTGTAGCTCAGTGAAGTCGTCAAAAGACTGTTCCAAGAGACATGAATAAGCAGCTAGCCTCACAAGTTCACAAATCACTTCACAGAACCACTCTATGCCACTGGTGAGATACTCCAGAATGGAAAGTTTGGGAAGTGAATTCACTACCTAAACTTGAATAACAAAAATAGCCTATAATCACCGCCTTCATTTCCTCAACTCCCTTCATTCTTTAATATTACAATCAGCATTGCATTTAATCTTAATCACTCTACTAATGCTGGTATGGCAAATGTAAAACCAATTGCTATATCCAATAGAATATTTTCAATCTTTGCTATAGAGAGAAACATCAATGTGAAAGAGAAATATCAATGGGTTGCCGCCCATACTTACTCTGACCAGGAATCAAACCTGCAACTCTTTGGTGCACAGGATGATGCGCAACCAACGGAACAACTCAGTCAGGACAATCTTTGCTATTTATCTTTCAGTTACCATTTACACTTTTGACTCCCTTCCCTCAAAATAATTTATTTTTCCTTTTTTCTGAGTCACCATTGATTTTCTTTTCTACCAGTCTAACCTTTCCTTCCCTCAGTCATTACTGGATACATATACATTTGCCTGTACTTTCTTGCTTATATTCCTTAGTTTTCTGGGCTTGAATTAATATCTTGACTTTTAATTATATTTTCAAAAAGACTTTATTTCTAAAACTAAGTCACAAATCCTTTGTTGACACTTTAGGTATTTTGATAGGTCTACTGATGCCTCTGATGAAAAAACGCTATGCCTGTTAGTAATTGCACATATATAAGAATAAAAGCCATGGATATGGTTGACCCAAATATTTCAACAGTGGGAACTTTGAGACCTGAAATTCATTAAATACATAAAATATTAATTTTTTAATCATGTAGCTTCCTTATATACTCTTCAGAGATCATTCAACTACAGAATTTCCAGAGGTTTCAATGAAGCTTAATATCTAGAACTGACCTTGATCTAAGAATGGCTACTACTAGTATATACCTGTCCTTGAATTGTCCATGACTACAATCTCACTGCCAGTCTAGGGAATGTTTGGCATCAAATATTAGCGTGCTTAATTTACAACAAGCAGAGGCAGCTTCCCTGGCAAATATCTTCCTACTTTTCTCTCAATTAGGTGCTGGCAATTTGCTAATAGAGGCAATCTTCATCCCATGAATCTAAATTTATTAGAGAAAAAACAACCCTAGTATTATTCCATGACATTTCTTACAGTAACAAAGTTTATTTTAGTTGCATTAATTAACATCTCTTTGTATGTTTCCCAGCTTCATGGAGGTATACTAGACAAATAAAAGTTGTATATATTTAAAGTGTACAAAGTCATGATTTGGTATATGTATACATTATAAAATGATTCCACAATCAAGCTAATTAACCACATCTAGTTCTTTTTTGTTTGTGGTGGTGGTGGTGAAAACACTTTAGATCTACTCTTGGAAAATTTCAAGTATCCAGAATAATATTATCATCTGTATATAGTCTCCATGCTGTACACGAAATCCCCAGACCTTATTCATCTTATAAATGAAAGTTTGTGCCCTTGACCAACATCTCCCTTCTGTAATCCCCACCCCACAGTAATCTGAGTTAACAGTTCACGTGTAGTTTACAGCCCTAGCATATTCTATAAACATTTCGATGGCTATGTTTATGCTGGAAATTTAGTTGTCTTGTTATTTTAAACTCAAGCTTATATACCTCTTTAACCACATTTTACTTTTAACCACATTTTACTTTTCCTCCTTATTTTGGTTTAAAAGCAAATCATTAGGGATAATACCACCTTGTGGGGCTCTATAATGCTGTTAATAAAATGTTTAATAAGTTAACCAGGGACATGAATAACTGTATTAGTTATTATTTAATTATTAATGATGATCCCATAATTCTCCTTTGCCTATTCCTAGAAACTGAAAAAAATTACTGCACTAATACAAAGCCTAACCTCAGAAAAATTAACTAGGTGACTTACATGAAAGAAATATCAAATTCTATAAAACTCAAGGTGATTTTCTTCAGGTTTAACAGGAGACAATTATAGTTCCTCTTCAAAGGCAACTTGAGCCTAAATCTAAAATTCAATTCTCAAGTCCCTAAGTCATGACATGTATTTTACTAAAAACCGTGTATCTGTATGTTTTTAAAGATCATACCAAACATTTATGACCAGTTTGCATAGAGACATTTTTTTTCTAGGCTCAGTTCATGGTAAACAATGAAAACATTTCTAAGAAATATATCTGCATAGCAGGAAATCATATTTAAACTTGCAGAAATACATTCAGTGAAAATAGAGGAAACTCTGATCTTCAGTAACATGGGAGATGGCAATGGTTCTGGTGAAATAAGTGGCAAATACTGTAAAGAGCATGTTATGAAATTTCAGTCTCCAAACACAGAGGGTCCCAGAATAACCAAGTAACTGCAGGGCTGACGGGAGGCGAGCCATTCCTGCCTGGAATAAGGTTTCTATGTTGTACATCAGCTCCTCATGCCCCTCAAAGATGAGAGTTAGTCTTCTAGTCATCTTCCTGGTAAGACCAAAAGGACTTCCGAGATTCATTCTTGCCTTGTCAACATGTAAGTTCTCAAATTCAAAATTTTTCAGCTCTCCAACTACAGCTCAGACGCCAGTACATGTTGTGTGACTTCTGGCTCTCATCTCCCAAGAAGAGGGAAATGCTCCTCCCAGGGAATCTACAGCTACCTATGGTCAGTCTCTGTGCTGTCTGGCTCCTCGCCCTTCTCCGGTCCTGGCTGCGCAGGGCTGCGCAGGGCTCTGCTCCAGGCACCAGTGTGACACCAGGCCCCTACCCCCTGCACCATCATCTGGGGCACGTTCCCCCCACCCCCAGGGGTGTCTGGGGCAAGGAGGACAAGGAAGAGGATGTGAGGACTAAGGGGAAGCTAAGTCCCACGAGCGACTGTCTGTCAGGAGGCATCACCCCCCCTGCTCCTGCAGAGCAGCGGACCCCTTTCCCGAGGGGAAGCAAATGCTGGGGGACCCTGCGACTCAGGGTGGGCCCCTGCTCTCCTCTGCCGGCCTCCGGACTCCAGAGGCTCCGTCTGGGAGCAGCGCAGGTTGGGCATTTGATCCAGGAAGTGTTGTTTCACAACCTTTGGTGTTCCCCGGTTGAATTCAAAACCGTCCCCCTCACACAGGTTTGTTTGACAAGCAAGGGAACTTCGGAACAAGTCTAGTAGATTTCTGACGAAAATATTTTATCTCAACTATTAGGGCTTTTGGTTTTTTGTGTTTTTCTTTTGCTTATTTTTATTAGTTTTCATCTTAGGAACAATGAAGACCTAAAATCCTAGTAAGCAAAGCTAATATACTTTTCTTCTATACTTTAAGTAGAATATAGGGTTTTTGTATTAATATTGTTAAAGATAGAAATGAGAAGTTTACAAAACTTTATCTATTTGGAAATTTAGTAATTTTAAATTAAAAGTTATAGATTAGTTTAGGAACATTTCTCTTACCTTCATTCTTTCAAATTGAGATAGAACTCTAAGTGCCCGAAGGAATTTAATGGACATAAGTAGTTTTATTTCCTGAGATTTGCCTATTAAGTTCAGACAAAATACCTAGATATATGAAAAATAAATAATTAATGGGATTTAGTTTTAACTTTAACAAAAACAATCTATAAAATAAGCATCATTTATTAGAAAAAGATACATAGTCAAAGCCTACCAAGAAATATGCAAAAGCTTTACTATATATTTCAATACATCTTAACAATGACTTATAGAAAGGTGTAAGAATATCATTTTGTGTTAAAATCACTTAAAGAATTTAAAGATATCTTCTGGTAATAATACATGTTACTAAAATAAATAATATATATTGTTTATTATTTATTATAATTTATCCTTTATTATAATTATGGATTCATACTTATATCCATTTTTTAGTTTGTAATTAGATTAAAATCAGTTTCATGATTATTTCAATATAATTATAGTATACAATGTATTTGTTGAAACAAAATTTTAAATATATTTACATGTTCCTCTGTATATAAATATAGTTAAGACAATTTATAGAATTAGATTTTAGAGGAAAGGCATCAAAAAAGATATAAGTACAAAGAATAGAAATATGGTAAGGTTATTTTTCAAAGTAAACATATTTGCATAAAATGATTAGAGGCTAATAAATGTGAATGGAGATTGAGCAAGGTGGAAGAGTTGTGATTAACTTATTGTGCCTTCATATTTTCTTTAATTACAAGGCAACATAAATGAAAAATGTGAAAGCAAGAATATCAGTTTGGGAGCTATTGCAGTGATCCAAACGAGAATTTTTGGCTGCTGGCATCAGTGTGGTACTGGTGAAGGAATTGATATGTAGTCTCATTCTGAAAATATAATTTAAAAGTTGAGCAAATAGAATGTAATTATTTTAGGATGCTGATAATTTCAAAATATTATGCAATAAGCCTATTTTGTTAACTGTGGGTGCATAGGTGACTGTTAGAATAATCAAGAAATGAAGTGCTGAATTTTAAGTTTTAGAATGAGAAGGAAAGGATAAATATTAAACACTACAAATGAAGAAGTATGGGATGTTGGTGATTAAAAATGTATATAGAGAGATAACGGAAGATACAAGTAAATGGAACCGTAAAAGCGTAAGAGTAACGAAGCAACAGCAAATCAAATAGCTTTAAAATTTTGTTTTACATACGTACAATAACAACCATGAAGTCCAGCCTGTGCCAGCCATTAGTGAAATAGGCTTTAAAACCATATGCCATCCACTTTAGAAGCATTTCCAGAATAAAGATGTAAGTGAAGATCATGTCAGCATATTCTAATAAGATTTTAATAGTTTTTCTTTGATTGATATATATATCTTCAAAAGCCTATGGGGAAAAAATTTACAGATTAGCATACATTTTTCACATGAGGGGAATGGAATGCCATCTCCAAGAAGCAGATGGTGAGCAAAGTCATAGATTGTAGTCTCAAGGGCTGGCTCACTTTTCTTGCATTTATTCACATAACCCATAAGTATCATTTTCTGATCCAGTACCTGTAACAGACATCATTAGTTGATCCTAGAACCACTTCTTATAGAGTTTGAACCTGGCCTCATACTTGTTCTAAATATTGACCATATCAGTTAGTCAATCTTAATATAAAAGGCAGTATTTTCAGTCACATCTGATGTGGCTCTTATCTCTAATTCCATGTGGCCAATGCACAGATATATGCATTTCTAATAAAAAGCACATATTGGGGTTTAAATGTTTTTAGAAATCCATAGTGTTATTATAAGAAAAAGTCACAAAGCTTGTTTCAGTGCAGGAATAATCAGGTATACCACACAAATATGAAGTAAAACTATAATAGTTTCTCTAAAGTTTTTCAGTTTTAAAAGATCAATCTTGGTTTTTCTATGGAGGATGGAAAGTTTATTCAAAGAATGGTGTGATTTTCATAAACCTACTAATAAACTAAAGTAAATATAAGATGACAATAAAATTACTGACTTAATTGAACCAATTACAGAGTAAAAATGTCTATAAAAGCAATTATAAGTATCTAAAGTTATTTTAAAGGACTTTATTTTATTACTAGAGGCCCAGTGCACAAACTCATGCATGGGTTGTTCTGTAGTTTAGTTGTAATTTTCATATGGTTGTGGGAGGATGCAAATACTGAGTTTACCTGTGCCGCCATCTTGACAGGAAGCCTAAACTTTGTTTCTTATATGAAACTTTATTAAAATAAGAAGAATTAAGTGTCTTTTAACATTCCTTTTTCCCACTGTTATTAATATATTTTGGAATTGTATTATTCATTTAATATTAAATGATGCCAATACAGATTTTAAAGAAATTATAATCTATGTCTTTCAAAACTAAAATCACAGATTATGAACTATGATGGTATAATAATAAATATTATGGGGGAAACTAATTTGTTATGGTGACTTTACAAATTAACAGACTTCTGATATACTTTTCCCATAAAAATCTCACATACCCTCACTTACCAGAGCACCTGTGCTGAGCAAAGTGACAAGGCCAATGAAACACTTAAAAAAACTGTTTTCTACAATCTTGCAGCAGGTTTTCCTTATGTTTCGCCAAATTTTTCCTCTCTTGGATTCTCTACTAACTTGACCTGCTGAAGATCTTCGTTCATAACCTGTCAAGAATAAAACTGTTAAAAAAAATTCTTGACAATTCATGAAATAAATAAACTTCTCAAAGTTTCTACCATGTGCTTTACAGAATCTAATATAGGCGGTCTCTGACTTACAAGCATTTGATTTTTACCCCTGTTGTACTGAACACTGCAATCACTGAGGAAAAAACACAAAAACTTAACTTGTGATTTGGTAATTAAAAGAAATTATGAAAGGCAGCACATTCCCTAAACCTGCAGGACAGCGTCTGAGAGTAGAATTTATCCCCTACTAGTACTACTACTACTACAAATAAAATTTTCTTTTAATCATACACATACAACATCTTTTGAATATCACATTCATATAACACCTGAAAAATGCATTCTCTGAAGATTCCCATGGCATAACAAGTTTTCCCACTTAAATTTGCAAATATTTATTAAATGTCAAGAGGTATTAATATCAGTTAAATTGATTAGATGGTATGCAAATGCGAATTTTGTTTGAGATTAGCTGAGGAGCTAACCTAGATGATGGGGTACTTTGTGAGTAGGGTACATGTGCATGTGTTTTGAACTCTATTTTCTGGTCAAGAGTGTTAGCATAAGGAAACCTAAGGAGAAGAGAGTGATTAACCTGTAAAAAAAAAAAAATGAGGAAATGGTGATGGGTGGAGTTTAAATCAACACTTATTATTTTAGAATTTTACCTAATATCAATGTATATGTCTTTGGTCAAATTTTAAAAAAAGGAAATAATTCTTCCCTTGTTTTGGATGAAACAAGTCCTACAACTCAGCTACTAAGAGCAGATGCTTATTTTGAGTATAGAAATTTGAGCATTTAGCAGTTTCCATTTTGATGATGTCCAGTCATTTCAAAGGACTAGAACCTGTAGCCATTTGTTAATCTTCGTAGGAGGGTACATTTAATTATAAGTCATTACGAGATGTATGTTACATATCTTGTGAGTCAACCAACTGAAGCCTTATATTTTTCTTAATATTCATGTGGAATGTAAAAATATATCACTATTACATGATTTGTGTTTCTATGAAAGTTAAGGATACTTTCATATGAATTTTTAAATGTTGACTCCATTCCACAAAGCATAAAAATACATATACACATAACCCTAATTCGATTTTTTTAACAATCCTATAAAGTAAGTTTTGTTATTACCGTCATTTTACATATAAGGAAGTGAGTCAGAGAGAGGGTAAAAGTAGAGCACTGGGATTTGAATTCAGGCTCTCTGATTCCAGAGCCCACACTCTTTTTTTAATAATTATTTTTAATTTTCATTGATTTCAAAGAGGAAGGGAGAGGGAGAGGGAGAGAGAGAGAGAAACATCAATGATGAGAGAATCATTGACTGGCTGCCTCCTGCATCACTGGGTTTGTGCCTGAAACCCTGGCATGTGCCCTTGACTGGAACTGAAACTGGGACCCTTCAGTCCACAGGCTGACGCTCTATCCATTGAGCCAAACCAGCTAGGGCAACAGCCCACACTCTTAACTACTGAATTAGATTCCCTAGAAAGTAGCCCCATTTCCTTTTTTCCAAATGTTGACTTTTTTTCTTGATATTTATTTTAGTTTTCTATCAGGATTCAGATGGGCATGGGCATGTGCACACATGTGTGTGCATACACACTGTGTGTACTTCTTAGCCAAATTAATAAGTTTTACACAATTAAAAATATATCCAATAGTATTATTTAGGTTAAGAGAAACTTAGTCTAATCTATACTAATAGTCCCGGATTGTGAGAGGTTTAAACCAGCAGTCGGACATCCCCCGAGGGGTCCCAGATTGGAGTGGGTGCAGGCCAGGCTGAGGGACAACTCCCCTCCTCCCCCTCACCACACATGCATGAATTTCATGCGCCCAGCTACTAGTTGCAGTATAATATCCAAAGGAAATTTTTCTTACTGTTTTTAGGACGCTTTGGCTTCTCATGTTCATTGATCATTTCTTCTTCTTCAGAGATAGCAATATCAACTGTACTGCATTCAGATGAGCTAGATGGCTTTACCTTCTGAAAAGGAAAGTCCCACCAAAAATGTTAATAAAGTTTCATTCACTCTCTGTAGTTACAGTTTATCTCATTTTTAGAAATAAGAAAATTATGCACATGAACACCATTATCGGGTTTAAAAGATTTTAGGCCAAGTTCATGATTAATATTAAAATGTGTATATATGTCTGTGATTGATGGTGTTAAAATTATTTTAAAACTTAATTTAAGATAAAAATAATTTTTAAAATTTAATTGACTTTTAATTTCTATTTTATTTTTTCCATCACCACTTCAAAAAGAAAAAAAAAGATAAAATGCATTTTAAATTAAAATTGAAATTTATTTAATAACACTGTTCTCCCAAATGATGTATAGGCTATCTCCAATTTCCAAAAGGATTTGAGTTCCAAAGTTTTCTTGAAGTTATTCACAAATTTTCCAGTAAGCTATTTCAATTAGATGAATAGCATCAGAATAAATCACCCCTTGATGCTAAAGATGGGCAGACAAGGGTGTACTTAGTATTTACTGTAAAATCCAGTCCAGACATTCTTAGGTATTTCATCATACAGTGAGACTGATAGAGGTTATCCTGAAGCGAAATGACGAAATGGCACAAGGAACAGGGTCAATAATAGACCTGGGAAAGTGGTACCAGGACTATGTAAAGAGGCTAGTTGCAGAGATTGCCATTTCCCCTCACTCTATTCTTGAAGTTCAAGACTGGCTAGGATAAGGTAGTCATGACTTTGTACATGTGGTAACAATGCAAGTGCCATGCTTGCCCTCTTCTTAAAATGATTTTCCCACAATGCTTTCTTGCACCTTGCTTAAAAGTGGACATACAACATATCATCTTTTAAAATGACCAAGATCCCAAAGTTAATAGCTTATCAAATCATTTTCTAATTTTAAAAATTAAGATATGTGTTTAAAACATTTGGAAGAAAATCAATCTTATTTCTTAAAAATTAAGGAACGCTCTAGTAGATTATGTAAAAAAGTAAATTATAAATATTTTGTTCTACTTCTTCCTCTTATGCACAAAAAATGTTAATCAATATAATCAGGAAGCTTTGTTTGCTTAAACCTTAATGGCAGTTGTCAGTAAGACAGTATGGTGCTCAATTTAAAAAATATGTCCAACTGAATATTCCTCTTAAATAAATCATTTTTATAATTTCATTTCTCTTAAATTTCCTTTATTTCTGATTAACTAAAGGCTATAGCCATGCACTGATTTAGATGAAGACAATAAACAAATTAATATTATATTTATGTTTTTTTAGAGTTCTTAAAACCATTGCACCTAAACACTTTGATGTGATTTTTTCCAAACTCCTTTTAGTATGTATTATTTTAAATTTACAAATAAATCAATTAAGATTCAAAATTATATATAGTTTATTTTAGTAGAAGATTTAATGGCATGAAAAAAATAGCCATGATATATTGCTACATAGTGAAAAGTTATAAAACCCAATTTAAAGTTTGATGTTATTGTTATAAAATTTAGTTACATATTTGTAATTTAAAAAGCTGCAAGTTTAAATTCCAAAGAAGTGAGAGTATATATCTCTGAATTACCAAATCACATGTGATTTTTATATTTTATTCTTTGGCACTTGGTATATCAACATCCTAGGTACTCATGAAATATGTAATCTGGAAAGTGTCTAATTAAATTAAATATGTAACTAAAAACATACAAATATGTGAACAAATCTATGAGTAGCTAACCAATCAATAGAACCAAATAAGTATGCAGCATAAATTACAAACTTCTGCAACCTCAACATATCCAATTATATTTCATTTCCTCCTTCCTTTACCTCTTTATATCACAGACTTTTTAAGGAGATTTGGAAAGGAGTTTCCAAGAACATCTTTATGTGATGTGCTGTGACAAATAGAAATTTTGCCCAGAGATGGATGATAATCAAAGTCTTAAGTAAAGGTATAGAATAGTGCTGGAGAGGCATTTTCTCTGTTTTTTTCATAATGGTATTATTTTTTTAAAAAATGAAGAAGAGCCTGAGCCTGGCTGGTGTGGTTCAGTGGTTGAACATTGACCCATGAACCAGGAGGTCAACGCCCGTGCAGGTTTGCGGGCTCGATCCCCACTAGGGGGCGTGCAGGAGGCAGCTGATCAATGATTCTCTCATCATTGATGTTTCTATCTCTCCCTCTCCCTCTCCCTTCCTCTCTCTGAAATAAATAAAAGCATACTTAAAAAAATATATATTTAAAAAAAAAAAAAGGAACCTGAGAACCCGGCCGGCTTGGCTCGGTGCTTGAGCATTGACCTATGAACCAGGAGGTCACGATTCAATACCCAGTCAGGGCACATGCCTGGGTTGTGGGCTTGATCCCCAGGGTGGGGCATGCAGGAAGCAGCCGATCAATGATTTTATCTCATCATTGGTGTTTTCACCTCTCTCTCACCCTTTCCCTTCCTCGATGAAATCAATAAAAATAAAAAAGGAATCTGAGATTGAGTATGCTAAAGAATGAAGGTTTCTCTAAAACAAAGATGCCTTTACTAAAGCTAGAAACCCTCTGAATAATTGAAATTCAACCCCTTCTATAAGGCCAGTTTCAGAAGTTATTGCCCATAGTGGCTGCCAGGCCAGAAGAGGTTTGGAAGATAAGATGGTGCTGGAGAGTTGGGGGCCTGTAAAGAGACGTTCGTTGCCTCTCTCTCCCTGGTGTCTATGAGTATCTGAGAGGAGTCCCTCGTGAGTTTCAATGCAAAAAGCCCACAGTGCCACGGTGATCTAGGTAGATTGTAGCTTTCTATTAAACTCTACCTCCTACTGAGACATTATGCTGCTTTCAAATGAATACAATAAAACCGTATCCAGTATGATGTATGACACATGTGAAAAGCAAGTGAACAGCAATATCTACCCTTCTTTTAAAGTTTCCCCCCCCTTTTTTTTTTTTTTTTGGTCCAGGAGTTTATAAAGCTACAACTGTTCCCAAATCAAACCCTTGGTTTCTCTCTATTCATTAGTCCAATTTAATTACATATGTTATAAAATATGTTGCAGAAATGAACTGACAAGAATCTTACAATTTTAGCAAGCAATAATGTATCTTAGCGTGTTGTAGTCCAATCTCACAATTTAAAGATGCCTAGGAGAGTTTAATGGTTTCTCCAGTAGGACAAATTGATTTTGAAAATTTAGTTTTCTTCAGTATGCTTAACATCACCCCACACTGCCTGTTTATAAATATATATATATATTATTTTATCATGATATTATCCAATTTTTGTGAAGTGCTTACTATATTATGAGCATTATTATATGTACTACTATTTTTAATCTTTCTATCTTTTTTATTTTTTTATATAT